TCACTGACAGATCACTTTGGACATGAGAACATTTTGTTTTATAAACAACTCCATGGGAAATCATGTAATGCCATCTGATTGCTTGGACCCGCCTCTTAGAGATGACCTGCCTGTGTTTTTACCGTGTCCTGTTTGGACATGGTTTTGGGTGTCAGTGTTTAAACCATATACAGTTGCTAGGCCCGGGCCTCCCACCCAGGAGCTGCCCTTCTAGGTTGCAGTGTTGGAAGAATTGCCCACAGATGGTGAATAGAGGCATGTTACCTTTCACTTCACCTGGTCGACCAACTGGTGATGAGGAGGGTCCTGTTCTTTCGTTGGGACTGCCAAAGGGACCCTGCCACCCTGGTTCAGAGTTGCCAACTGGGTCAGCAGACAGTCCAGAGGAATATGCAGCACCGTGGCAAGATGGCCAATGTTTGTGAGGTTAAGCGTTATCATCTTCTCTTTGCTACCTCACGCTCACTCTGTCTCTGCTACTGCACACATCTCCCACCGAGTCTCATGCTCCACCACTCTCACTATTGTCTCAAACATCTTCCCTCACTTGCCTGTCACCTTCCCCAATAGAAACGGAAATTGCTGAAAACGTCAGCAGGTCTGGCAGAATTAATGTCCAGCAGTTGTAGCCACACGCTTGTTGATATTTGAACTGCGTTGTCCAAACACTGGGACATAGGGGCCCCTGATGAGGAGCCCAGTGCGATGCTGCTACACTGACATTGCCCTGGTTTAGATATCTATTGCTCAGGCCTTTGGTTGCTCATACAGTAACAGATTGGGAGAACTTCTCCCCATCCCCAAATTATCAGAGAAAGGCAGCATTGCACATGCGATGGTGGCGGGGTGTTTTATGGGGCAAACTGTGGAGTGAGCAGCTCCTGACCCTCTTGCAGGCTATGGGCCCTTGGAAGGCAATTGGTACCTTGTCCACTAGAGTGAATCTTTCCAGGCTGCAAGACATTGCTTGAGTCTCACAGCCATTGGTAGGATTGATCTATAATGGTTAAACAGAAAAACCAAAAGAACAGCAGAAGCTGGAAATCAGAATTTAAAAAAAAAACAGAAATTGCTGAAAAAACTCATCATCTGTGGGAAGAAATTGGAGTTAATGTTTTAGGTGCAGTGACCCTTCTTCAGATTTATAACAATGTGGCCAAGAGTGCTTGGGGCTAGGATTTTACACCATGATAAAGTCACCAAAATGATGCCAGACAATGGGGCTGCTGTCTCATTAGAGAGTAATGGTCTAACCTGAAGGTCATCCATGCCTTGGGTGATAGGTGAGGTTAAAAAGGAAGGACCTTTATGGTGACCTCAGCCAGAGTGGGAGGTGAACCCTCAGCGTTGGCTTTACCTCGTATAGGAAACCAGCCATCCAAGCTAACCACCTGTCAACACATCAGGTCAATACAAAAGGATCTGTGATAACAGGAATCTTCCACCTGTACTGTGTGGGTGTTTCTTTGGAACCATTGCCCTTTGAAGGGTCCCACATGGTGCGTATCCTGAGACCTTGGTGACCGCTGGTGACAATGGAGACTAAGAGGAGTCATTGGTGAGCTGGAGCTGTTGGTGCCCACTCTGAGTTACATTGTTGGGAATTGTTGCTGTCTAGTTTCTACACAGTGAGTGGGAGAATGGGAGCTGCACATCAATGAAGCGAGATTTGGTACTAATATCATCCAAATTAGTTCCCTTACCACTCAAAATTGAGATTCTTGTCTTGCCATTTCATAACTCAGTTGCAGAATGGAACTTTATTTTCTTGACATCAAAAATTTCAGGTTTCCGCTTTCGTCATCTTTTCCCATCTGGCTCGCCATTGCCCATCACGGGCTGGGAAGATTCTACCCTTTGTGGCCATTAAAGTATCTCAGTTGATGGATTTCGTTTTATTCTAAGTCTAAGACAGGGAAAGCCGACAATTGACTATCTCAGAACTGAGGTAAAGCAATTAAAGTTAGAATTAAAGTTAGGTTTATTGTCGCGTGTACTCAAGTGCAGAAGTACCGTGAAAAGTTTACAATATCGCCTCTCATGGCGCCATCTTAAGTATCGAGTACCTAGGTACAAATCTTAGATACAAATAGAGAAATAAAGAAAAAAAAATTACATTACCTTATAGTGATTCATAGCATAAGTTAGAAAATAAGAAATACAGTTGAAAGGAAAATCATTACAGTCAGATAAACAGATAATTGTGACCTTGGAGTGGTGGGATTAGAGACAGTGCACCTCCTTCCATCTTGTTCATACATACTGCTGCTTAATGATTGAATAAATGTATGACACATTAATTCAAGTCGCTGTGTGCCATTAATATCCAGAGTAGAGGCAAAAATGTTTAGACCAGGGAGAGGATTTAACAGAAGGGAGAAAATGTGAAAGAAGCTAATAAACAGTGACACTCTGAAGGCAAAGGACATGAAGTTTGTTCAGCTTCCTCTCAACGTAGTTTTTGTCTCTTTTAAGATGAACAAGTACAGCAGTATCTCACATATTGTTTCTCATTCACAGGAATAATTAATGAAGCTGAACTTGGAGCACAAAGTGTTGTTTATCAGATATTACTGGTGGTATACATGGTAAGGCTAAAGATTTTACCAGACATAAATGTATAACATTTTCCCAACAAGAACTAACAACTTTCACTGAACTTTAAAATGGGAGTGTTGGACAATTAACATCTCATTGACTCAGTCACTCAGCAGACTCCTGAAAGGGCTTTTCTGGCACTGCGGTGGTAGCAGGTAACACACCTTTTAGGGGCTATTGTGGTGCACTGGCAATGTCCCGACTTCTGAGTGAGGAGGCACAGGTTCAAATCCCACCTGCTCCAAAAGTGTGTCATAACATCTCTAGAGAGGAAGAGTAGAAAATATTGATTTGAAAGTATCTGAAGTGAATTCACTAGAAATATTTAGGACAAATTGCTTGGTTTAATCTACTCGACTCTTAACAGGGACCAAGACCAGGGGAAAGCTAACTATCGGGGTACATGGGCACTAACTAGCTACCAAGAGATATGACCAACTATCACTCATTTCCATACACCCAGACAAAGAAGGTCCCTAATTCGACTTGGACAACGTAACCATCCTAGGACTAACCAAACAAAGACATGCACGGGAATTCCTAGAGGCCTGATACTCAACAAAGAACTCCAGCAACAAACCTGTGGAAATAGACCCCATATACCACCCACTATGAAGTAGAATGGGAAATGAGGCCAACCACCACATCAGAATGGACCCACATAAATAACAAGGGGGGGCAGACCAACAACGCTTCACCGCAAGTGCACTGGTGATGTTACCTAGTACGGTGACGAAACGTCTGCAAACCAACCTACCAGCTCAGTGAGCAAACCAACAATCTCAGGAACCAATCTGTGAGAAGTCACCAGTTTTTATTCTTTCACAGATGAACCTGCTCAGGGCAGAGTGCTCTTGTGGCACAGGAGGCCCAGATTCAAGACTGACCAGACCTGGATATGTGCCATGGCACATCTGAATAGGTTGTTTAGAGGGCTCTTGTGCTGTCGTGGTAGTGTCCAAACCTCTGAGCCAGGCTATCCTGGGCTCAAGTCCCGCCTGTTCCAACAGTTTGATTTTAAAAATACTGAGATGACCCTGATCTCCTGGTCTTAAGAGGCTAAAATATTGGATGTATTGGAGGAAACATATATATATAGAGATTAAAGGAAAGAATAAACAAGACAGAAGTGAGATTCCATGGGTGAATAAATACATAAGTGGAATGTGAAGTACATTGACAGCAGAGGGAAGTGAGAATCAAACAATACTTAGAGATAATGGGAGCAAAATCTAAAACCAACTAGTAAGGCAAAAGGAACTTTACATTAAATTATAAAAGATAGTAAAACAAAATAGTAAAATATTTTACAGGCTTGTCAATAAAAATTGGAAGGTCGGAAATAGAACCATTGGGGTTATACAGAGTAATATCACAGGTGGCAAGAAAGACATGGCAGAAAATTTAAATAATTATTTCATTTCATTATTAACCAAGAAGGTAGACATGGATCATAGAGGGCCTACAGTGTGGAAGCAGGCCATTCGGCCCATCGAGTCAACATTGACCCTCTGACAATCATCCCATCCATCCCTTTACCCTATCACCCTGCATTTCCCAGTAGCCCACCCTAACCTGCACATCCCTGAACACTATGGGCAACTTAACATGGCCAACCCCACCTAGCCCGCACATCTGTGGACTGTGGAAGGAAATCGGAGCACCCGGAGGAAACCCACGCAGACACGGGGAGAACGTGCAAACTCCACACAGACAGTCGCCCGAGGGTGGGAATCGAACCCCAGTCCCTGACACCGTGAAGAATGAGAGAATTGTATTTAAAGTATAAAAAGAGCTGCATTGAATAAAGTAAGTAATTGCAGAGGGTGGAATTGTAGGGTTTCTTCTGGTCAACACCAACTTGTGCTAAGATTTTTGGAGGGTTTTCCTCACTGGGAACAGGGCCTCTGAGTGAAAATACACAAATCATGAAAAGTTGCACCACCAAGTTGGCAAGGCCATTTTTAAAAAATCTCAGTATATGCTCTATTTAATAGACATAGGAAGTTCACAGCACAGAAAGAGACCACTTGGCCCATCCTGTCTGTGCCAGACAGAGGTTTACAATTTTAAAACTTGGGAAGTCATGCTAAATCCACCTCAAGCCGTGGTTGGAATTAACTTCAGAAATCTGTGCACAGTTCTGGTCAGAGTTTTACGAAAAGGATATAGAGACACTGCAGATGATGCAGAGGTAATATCAGGATGTTACCAGAAACATGCAAATTTACACATCAGGAAAGGAATGACACGCTGGTTCTTATTAGTCTCGAGATAAGAATGCTGAGGGCTGCCCTAAAATTCTGAGAGGTTTCGACAGAATGGATTTTGTAAAAAAAAATTTATCAATTCCATGCTTTTCAGAGGGGCAGTGTGGACTTGTTGGGTCGAATGGCCTGTTTCTACATCGTAGGGATTCTGTGATTCTATGATCTATGATCTACATTTCTGAATTTTTGACAATGGTTGAAATAGGAGAAGGACTGTTTTAAAAACTAAGATTTTGAAAAGAATTACAGTACTTCTTAAAAGCAAGTTACCTGACACTCACTGTAAGTGCTATTTACACTTTTGCTTGTTTGAGCAGTGCAGAAGGTTAAAGTGAACAAGCTGGAACCAGGGGTATGTACAAAGAGAGATTCGGCTGGCAACAAATAGCTGATTGGTTTGTGGAAATGGTGATCAGTTGTCAGTGTCAAAAGCCTTCTGCCTGACAACAGCCACGTGATTGACTCCCAGGCAACTGAAGAGCTTGTGAGTGTGAATGTTTGGTCAGAAGCTGTCGGACATCCAGAAAGGAAAAAGCAGTCCGTTTCCCTGGAGTAAAAGGCATCTCAGGCCTGAAAAAAGCCGGTTTATTTCCCCACATTAGTCACTGTAAGGTGTGGGTTTTAAGTGAGAGTGATACATGTGAACCAATTGCTGTGTGTCTCCTGTAAGCGAGTGAAGATAACTGGAGAAGAAAACTCAGGGAGCAAATCCTAACAAGCAAAAAAAAATCATCTCAGCGAGCCCTGTGGACAGGGACCATTCAATTGTCTTCTCGGTCTTCTCCTCCAACCATAATGTTCTGAGGAAGGGTCTCTCAACCCAAAATGTTAACTCTGATTTCTCTCCAGGGATGCTTCCAGACCTGCTGAGCTTTTCCAGCAACTTCTGTTTTTGTTCCTTTATGGTGAGCTCAGTCAGTGCAAGAATGGAACCCACAGTGTTGGCATCACAAACTAGCCATCCAGAAATGTCCAGCCTTGAGTGGTCTTTTAATGAGGTGGCCTGTTTCAATGCAATTTACCCTATGCAGAATCACTGGGTGCAATTTCCCAGCCCCTGTCTTCTTTCTCCCGCAGATACCTCTGGGATACGGGGTGGCTTCAGCTGTTCATGTGGGAAATGCACTGGGTGCAGGGAACCCAGAGAAAGCTAAAAATGTTGCGAAAGCTGCTCTGTGGTGCGTTGGTGAGTACTATATTTGCAGTTCTTTGCACTGTTTGGTGACAGTGTCCTCACTTCAGTAATGCAGCGCTCACCTCTTTATCTTCGGTTTGCTCAGTATCCTTAATTAGTCACTTCAGGGCCTTAGCTTTTAGCTGTTATCTATTGAAAGACAGAAGCAGGAATGGTCAAGTCAGTCCTTCGAGCCTTCTCTGACATTCAACATGACTGTGGCTGATCATCTCCATTTCTGGCCCTTGTCATCCAGAACCTAATTCCTGGCAAAGGTGAGAGGGCAGTGGGATTCAGGCCTGGTTAAGTAACTTTCTGACCTGCAGGCCTGTTGCTTCCAACAGCACTCTTTTACCTGATAGTGTTCAAGGTGTAGAATGCACGCATTAATACTAAGGAAAGAAAATATCCAACTGTACAGAGATATTGAAGCATAGAAAATAGGAACCGTTCTGGCCGTTCTGCATGTCGAACCTGCTCCACCATTCAATATGATCATAACCGATCATCTGAATCAGTCCCCACTTTCTTCCCATACCCTTTGATCCCTTTAGCCCTAAGAACTATGTCTAACGCCTTCATGAAAAATATAAATGACTACTTTCTGCAGCAGAGAATTCCACAAGTTCACCACTCTTCATGGGAAATTTCTCCTCATCTCAATCCTAAATGGTCTACCCCATATCCTTAGACTCTGACCCCTGATCCTGGACTCCCCGGTCACTAGGAACATCCTTCCTGTGTTTACCCTGACTAGGCCTGTTAGACTTTTATAGGTTTTTATAAGACCTCCCACCCAACCATTAATCTAACCTCCAGTGAGTATAGTCCTAACCAACCAATGTGCTATTAAGGTTGGCACAGTGGCTCAGCGGTTAGCACTGCTGCCTCATAGTGCCAGGGTTCGATCCCACCTTCGGGCAACTGTCTGAGTGGAGTTTGCACGTTCTCCCTGTGTCTGTGTGGGTTTCCTCTGGGTGCTCCAGTTTCCTCCCACAACCCAAAGATGTACAGGTTAGGTGGATTGGCTGTGCTAAATTGCCCATCATGTCCAGGGATGTACAGGCTAGGTGAATTAGCCATGGGAAATATAGGGTAGGTTTGGGTGCAATGCTGTTTGGAGGGAAAAAAATGATTAGACAATCAGGTTTTTCAAGGGATAGGTTGGGCAGGATTTCACTCATTGCTGTAATTGTGTTGTAGTAGATTTCCCCTCTACCTGAGAGAGCTGACAAGATCTTTATTTCATAACCGATCCAAACGCTGACATCTCTGACAGTGCAGCACCCCATACTGGTGTAGCAAGCTGGATTATTTGCTCAAGACACATGGGTGGTCGAGGAACGTCAGGGCGATGATAGAAAAGTCTCTGAATTGTTGGTTCCTTTGGAGTGAGTTGCCTGAAATGTATAATTGATTAAAACAAAGAACTGAAGATATGAAGCAAAAAACCAAAATCACTGGAGGAACTCAGCAGGTCTGTGGAGAGCGAAAGCAGTTGACATTTCAGTGAGATAGTAGGAACTGCCAATGCTGGAGAATTTGAGATAACAAGGTGTAGAGCTGGATGAACACAGCAGGCCAAGCAGCATCAGAGGAACAGGAAAGCTGACGTTTCGGCTTGGCGTGCTGTGTTCATCCAGCCCTACACCCTGTTATCTCTGACATTTCAGTGAGCCTTCTTCAGAAACTTTTTGATGATGAGTCATACCAGACTCGAAACATTAACTCTGCATCCTCTGCACAGGTGCTGCCAGACCTGCTGAGTTTCTCCAGCAATTTCTGCTCCTGTTTATAATTGATTAGTTGGTCAGAATTGTTTATACATCGAATTAGTACTTATTTGTATTTCATTTTGACCAGGATTTCTGGCTTTGGTGATTTTTGCGGTACTGGAGGCTATAAAGGATGTGATTGGTTATGTCTTCACCAATGACGAGTGAGTTTGAAAGAAATCTTGACTGTATTTAGATCACAAGTTGAACTCAGCATTGTCTGAAAGCTCTGCCTTGACACTACTCTCTCCTTCTTACAGGGAAATAATTCAATTAGTTGAGAAAGTGTTACCAATAGTCGCTACTAACCAATTGTTTGATGCCTTGGTTGTGAGTATTTCAAATGAAACCTTACACAACTTATGCAAATACATTTGGCTTAAAATTAAGATTGCAGGCAGACTACTTCCTTCCTGTGTCAGAAATTATCTGAACAATGTCTTTGCGAATTCAGAAAAAAGAGTTTCTATTTGTTATTCTTAAAATAACTTCATTCAAATTTAATCGAATGATTAAGGTCGTGAGCTGGCAACAGGGAAGCTCCTACTGCGGTAAACGCAGGAACAGAAGGGACGCAATTCTGTCCTTTAAGCCTGCTACATTATTCTGTAGCTGTTGCTGGATTGAAAACATAGAATTCCCTTCCCAATAGCACAGTGGATGTATCACAGTGCATCACATGGATGGCTCAGGAGGACATTTCACCATCACCTTCTCAAGGGCAATTAGGGATGGACAATAAACGCTGGCCCAGGCAGTGATGCCTACATTCTGTGAAAGAATGAGAAAACAGATCATGGCTGGTCTATGCACATACATAGAAACAATTCAAATAGGGAAGGACACTCCACCACTCAATCTGCCATGACTGATCTGAATGCGGCCTCAATGTCACCTTCAAGCCTACCCCCAATATCCTTTGACTTCCTTGTTAGTGAAGAATTTATTTGCCTCTGTCTTAAAAATATTCAGTGACCTGGCCTTCACTGCTCTTTGGAAAAGATAGACTTGTGAGCCTCTGAGAAAAACAGCATCTTCTCATTTCTGTCTCAAATGTGAGACCTATTTTTAACTGATGTGTCTCCTAGTCCTGATGTGCCTCACGTGGTCCATTCTGTCAAATCCATTCATGATCATGTATATTTTATTAAGATCACCTCTCATTCTTTTAAACTCTCATGAATACAGGCCTGGTCTGTCCAACTTTCCTTATTCCTCTTCATTCCAAGAATCTGTCAAATAAACCTCCTGTGAACAGCTTATGATACAATTAGGTCCTCTCTAAAATAAGGAGACCACAACTATACACAATAGTGTATATGTGGCCTCACCAATTCCCTGTACAATGCTACAAAATATCCCTAATTTTATATTCCATTCCCCTTGCAATGAACACTGACATTTCATTTGCCTTTCTAATCACTTGCTGTACCTGTGTAGTAACTGTTTTTGGTTCATATACCAAGAAACCCAGGTCTCTCTGTATCTTACAGTTCTGCAATCTATCTCCATTTAACCTGTATACTGTTTTTTTCTTCTTCCTGTCAAAGTATCAGACTGGAGACTTGTGACCAGCAGTGTGCTGCAAGGATCGGTGCTGGGTCCATTGCTTCTTGTCATTTATATAAACAATTCGGATGTGAATATAGGAGGCATGGTTAGTAAGTTTGCAGGTGACACTAAAATTGGAGGTGCAGTGGACAGCGAAGAGTACAACGGGACCTTGATCAAATGGGCCGCTGGGCCGAGGGGTGGCAGATAGAGTTCAATATACTTAAATTTTGGTAGGACAAGTCAGAACATGACTTATACACTTAATGGTAAGGTCCTCGGGAGTGTTGCCGAACAAAGAGACCTTGAAGTGCAGATTCTTTGTTCCTTGAAAGTGGAGTCCCAGGTAGACAGGATAATGAAGAAGGTGTTGGTATCCTTGCCTTTATTGGTCAGTGCATTGAGTATAGGAGTTGGGAGGTCATATTGCAGCTGTACAGGACATTGCTTAGGCCACTTTTGCAATATTGCATTAATTTTAGTCTCACTGATATAGGAAAGATGTTTTGAAACTTGAAAGGGTTCAGAAAAGCTTTACAAGATGTTGCCAGAGTTGGAGTGTTTGAGCTGGGGCTATCTTCCCTGGAGTGTCGGAGGCTGTGGGATAACGTTATAGAAGTTTATGAAATCAATGGGGGCATGGATATGGTGAATAGTCAAGGTCTTTTCCCCAGAGGGCATAGGTTCAGGGTGAGTGGGGAACGATCTAAAAGGGGCCTCAAGGGGCAACATTTTCATGCAGAGGGTGGTGTGTGTATGGAATGAGCTGCCAAAGGAAGGGGTTGGAGGCTGGTACAGTTACAACATTTAAAAGGCATCTGGATGGAAATATGAATAGGAAAGGTTTAGAGGGATATGGGCCAAACAGTGGCAAATGGGAGTAGATCAGTTTAGGATATCTGGTCGGCATGGATGAATTGGACCGAAGGGTGTTTTCATGCTGTACATCTCTATGACTATATGGACCTGTCCTGATTTTCCCTAATTTTGTTCCATTTGCCAAATATTTGCTGACTCAATTAACCTATCATACATGCTGTATGGTTGTTGTAAAAGGTTGTAAATGTCTGAAAGGGTTAATATTGAGAAGTGCATTAAACAACACCCACTTGTCGGCAGAACACCTTAGAATCTCAGAGGAGTAAGACCAAGGCTGTCCTCATAGTCTCTGTAGCTGTCTCTATCATATCAATGTAGCCAGTAAGCGACATGCGACAAACTACTTTTTGTTCAATATAAGAACTTCTTCTAGTTAGCCGAGGAAGTGGTTTTCTTCTCCCACAACAGACCAAGCAGACCCTATAGACACCTACACATGAAAAGGATGGTTCTACAGACTCAAAGTGACCGCATATGCAACAATGTCCTCTTCACAACTTACTTTCCTTCCTAGCTTTGTGTCTTCAGTAAATTTCATCTAATGTGAATTGTTAGTAGTTCAGGTCCCAGCACTGATCCCTGTTGGACCCCACTCATGCCATCCTGAAAACCCAACAAGACCCAGTTAAGCCCACTCTCTGTTTACTCTTAGTTAACCAATCCTCTATCCATGTAAGTATATCACCTCCTAAAACACAACTCTTATTTTGTGTGGTCTTTGTATTTCTTGAAACCTTTACTGTAAAGGAATTAAACATTAATATGTGCTATTTGTCTACTACACAGTGTGTGAATGGTGGAGTGCTGAGAGGAACTGGGAAGCAAAGACTGGGAGCTATCGGTAACCTAGTGGGATTTTATCTCATTGGTTTTCCCATTGGAATATCACTGATGTTTGCTGCAAAGTTTGGGATCATTGGTAGGAAGTTGTTTATTAATGTGTTTTGTTTCTCTTGTCCTGAAGGCTTGGCTACGTTCTGGGATTCTCTCCCACTAACCACTGGCTAATCTCTGATTTCTCACCACAATGGCAACACTCTGTGCGTGCAAATATAGACAATCAGATTATTTTCAAAAGAATCAGGGGGAGATATGGATTTGTTTTACTGGTGTGTTCTGATGCTCTAGAATTCTCTTCCTGAAAAGGAAGAAAGACTCGTAAGGGGAAGGAGGCTGTCATAGTTAGACAGGAACAGGAATAGGCCATTCAGCCCATTGACCCTTCTGGCCATTCAACTTGATGATAGCTGATTGAACACTCCAATGCCTTTGCCCATCCCATCTCTATAGCCCTGAATGCCTGTTGGTGATCAGAAATCCATCAATCTCTATCATAAAGACTGAGATATCCACAATTCTCTGGAGTAGAGAATTCAAAAGAATCACCACCCTCTGAGTAAAAACCATCCTAACCCTAACCATCCTCATCTCGGTCCTAAGTGGCATCCCTTACTTTGAAATTGTGCCTCCTGGTTCTGGATTCCCCAACCAGGAGAAACATCTAAACCACTCCTACCCTGTCTATCACTTTTAAGTATTTTGCAGGTTTCAGTGAGATCTCCTCTCATTCTTTGAAACCTGAGAGAATGCAGGCCCAGTTTATCCAGCCTCTTCCCTTAAGGCAGTCTTGCCTTCCCAGGAACTAAGTCTGGTGAACTTCTGTTGCACTCCCTCTATGGCAATAATACCTTTCCTGAGGTCAGGAGACCAAAACCACCCACAGTACTCCGGGTGTGTTCTAACCAGGCTCATTCTCAAGATTTCACTACTCCTGTGCTCAAATGTTCACACAATAAAGGCTAACATTCCATTAGCCTTCTTAATGGTTAGCTGCACCCAAATGTCAGCTTAAAGTGACTTGTTGACAAGGGTATCAAGGTCCCTTTGTACATCTACACTCTCCAAACACTGACCATTTGAGAAATACTCTGCATATCTGTTTTACCTATGAAAGTGTCGAATGATAACCTCACATTTTAGAACGTAGAACATTGAACAGTACAGCACAGTACAGGCCCTTTGGCCCACGATGTTGTGCCGACCTATTATCCTCCTAAGATCAAATTACCCTGCATACCCTACATTTTACTATCCTCCATGTGCCTATCCAAGAGTCGCTTAAAAGTGTCTGAAGTATCTGACTCCACTACCACTGCCGGCAAGGCATTCCACATGCCCACCACTCTCTGTAAAGAACCTACCTCTGACACCTCCCCTATACCTTCCTCGAATCACCTTAAAATTATGCCCCCTCGTAATAGTCATTTCCACATTATTTTCCTTTTGCCATGTTCCTACTCACTCACTAAGCTAAATCTTCCTGAAGCTGCTTTACATCTTCCTCATGACACATATTCCCACTTAGCTTTGAATCATCTGCAAATTTGGAAATGTTACATTTGATCCCCATCCCCAAATCATTGATATATGTTGTAAACAGTTGGATTCCAAGTCTGATCTTTGTAATATCCCACTCATCATAATCTGCCAACTCGGGAGTGTCCCATTTATTCTCAGTCTCTATTTAAAGTTCATTAGCCAATGACTAATTCATGCTTGTACATTACTTCTATCTTCAATTATTCTATCCAGCCTCCTTTTGGCAACAGATCAAAAGCCTTCTGAAAATCAAAATATACTCTGTCCATCAGCTCCCCTTTATCAGTCTGTTAGTGACATCTTCAAAAACTCCAAGATTGTCAAGCATTATTTTTCATCTGTAAATCTACGTGGTCTATGCCCAATCAGATCATTATCACACAAGTGTCTATCTCATCCTTTATGATAGTATTTTCACTCTTACTGATGGAAAGCAAATAAGTCTCGAGTTCCCTCTTTTCTCTCTCACTCCTTTCTCAAATATTGGGGTGACGTTTGGCACCTTACAATCTACAGGAATCACTTGTCAGTGAGATCACAGAATCACAAACACCTGGAGAAACAAAATTCCTATGGATATGAGATCAGCAGATGTCACAGGAAGCATCCTACAATCTTCAGGTTTTTCATGTCAAAGCTTGGCATCACCTAATCACTATTTCTTTTGCCTTTATTCCATTTAAGACTATTACAGCCAGATTAGGGGCTGAGAATTCTGTTGTAAGTAACTCACCTCCTGACTCCCCAAAGCGTGTTGACCATATACAAGGCACAAGTCAGGAGTGTGATGAAATACTCCCCACTCGCCCAGATAAGTGCAGTCCCGGCAACACTTAAGATGCTCAGTATCATCAAGGCATCATCCAGGGCAAAACAAGCTGCTTGACTAGCATCCAATTGGCCACTTTCTATGTTCCTCCTGTCCCCGAGGCAGATTGGCAGCGATCTACATGATTCACTGCGGTAATTCACCAAGAGTCCTTTGACAGTATCCCCTTAACAACAAGTAATTAGGAAGGCAAATGCAATTTTGTCCTTCATTGCTAAAGGGATTGAAATAAAAAGCAGAGAGGTTATGTTGCAGCTGTACAAGGTGCTGGTGAGGCCACACCTGGAGTACCGTGTGCAGTTTTGTCTCCTTACTTGAGAAAGGATGTACTGGCACTGGAGGGGGTGCAAAGGAGGTTCACTAGGTTGATTCCGGAGTTGAGGGGGTTGGCTTATGAGGAGAGACTGAGTAGATTGGGATTATATTCATTGGAATTCAGAAGATTGAGGGGGGATCTTATAGAAACATATAAAATTATGAAGGGAATAGATAAGATAGAAGTAGAGAGGATGTTTCCACTGGCAGGTGAAGCTAGGACAAGAGGGCATAGCCTCAAGATTAGAGGGAGCAGATTTAGGACTGAATTGAGAAGGAATTTCTTCATGTAGAGGGTTGTTAATCTGTGGAATTCCTTGCCCAGTGAAGTAGTTGACGCTACTTCAGTAAACGCTTTTAAAAAAAAGGTAGATTTTTTTTGAACAATAAAGGAATTAAGGGATACGGTGAGAACACGGGTAAGTGGATCTGAGTCCACGAAAGGATCAGCCATGATCTTATTGAATGGCGGAGCAGGCTCGAAGGGCCAGACGGCCTACTCCTGCTCCTAGTTCTTGTGTTCTTGTGTTCTTAAACTCCATGGCATCAACCACCTGGAAGGACAAGGGAAGCAGGTGGATGGGCATATCAACAGCTGTAAGTTCCCTTCAAGGCCACTCACCGTCCCGACTTGGAAATATATTGCCATCACTCTACCAACACTGGTTCCAAATTCTGGAACTCCCTCCTTAAGGACTGTAATGATTCAAGAAGGCACCTCATCACCACCTTCTCCAGGGCAAGTAGGGTTGGGCACAAAATGTCGGTCCAGCCAGTGACATGAGCGAATAAACAGAGTAAATAAATCCAAGTCATTTCCTTCAACAGGTGTCCATTTGCTCTGGTGAGGGGATGTGCCAGAGAACAGGTGCCCAGGTCTCTGCTGAAACCACTGTTGATGCAACAATGGAACTAATTTCCTGGCCTCCCATTCTTTGCTCTTCCTTCCCTGCTCCCTCCATCGCTAATGATTGATGAATTCACCACATGGTAAACAGTCAGTTTCAAGTCATAACCCATCAGTTTCCTGTGTGCAAATCCATGATTCTACACTGTTTTACAACACCCAGAATGTACCTCCCGTTAAAGGGCCACCAATCCTGCCATTGCAGTGAAGGTCCTGTCGGAGAGAACAATCTTTCTTTGACCAGGATTTCACATTTCAGGGAATCTGAGCCTTCTCAGAAATTAAAGGCACAAGTTTCCAGAGGCAGTACCGCCCCATCAAGGTAACACCCTCTCACAGAGATAAAGTAGAACAGAAAACATAGAGACGGGAAATCTGACAGAATTGCCTGGCGACTCACACACATTTATCTTTTGCAGGTTACTGGTATGGAATGGTCATTTGTGTCTTTTTCCAGTATGCTTTCTATCAGATAGTGATTTACAAAATCAACTGGAATGAAGCATCCAATCAGGTGAGAACAGATAATAGAATTTGGCTGTTGCGTCAGTAAATTTGCTACATTTTCCACTTCCCTCCCATGCCTTGACTCTTTGGACCTGCCTGGGAGAGCAAATTAGCCGCCATGATTCTCATCATTCTCTCTTTGTCATTCTTTACAAAGTCACCAGGGGGGAGGCGGTGGCCTGGTGGTGTTATCGCTGGACTGTTAATCAAGCGACCCAGGTAATGTTCTGGGGACCCGGGTTCGAATTCCGCCACGGCAGATGATGGAATTTGAGTTCAACAATATATCTGGAATTAAGAATCTAATGGTGACCAAGAATCCATTGTCGGGGAAAAACCCATCTGGTTCACTAATGCCCCTTTAGGGAAGGAAACGGCCATCCTTACCTGGTCTGGCCTACATGTGACTCCAGACCCACAGCAATGCGGTTGACGCTGATCTGCCCCTTGAGTAATAAGTGATGCCCTCATCCTGTTAATGAATAAAGACCACAAGGAGAGTCTCTGGGTGACCATCTGTCCATGTTGCAAAATGCCTGGCCTACCCACCCCATCAGCAATATAGTACACTGTGGAATTCACTCTGTGCCACATTGCAATCAAATTCCAATCATTCCTCCTTATAATGGTAGCTATCACATGTAGAGAATGCTGGAGGAAACTCAGCAAGTCTGGTAGCATTTGTGGGAAAAGAAACAGAGTTAATCTTTCAAATCCAGTATGCCTTTGAGACTTCTTCAGAACTGTAACTTAAAAAGGCAGTTCTAAAGGCAGGTCAAAACAGACTTCAAGTGTTAACTTTGCTTTCGTCTCCACCACTGCTGCCAGACCTGCTGAGTTTCTGCAGCTTCATGGAATCCCTACAGTTTGGAAGTAGGCAATTTGGCCCATTGAGTCCACACTGACCTTCTGAAGAGCACCTAACCCAGACCCACCCCTCTATCTTATTTCCGCAACCCTGCATTTCCGATGGCCAATCCACCCTAACCTGCACATCTTTGGACTGTGGGAGGAAACCGGAGCACCCGGAGGAAACCCGCACAGACACAGGGAGCATGTGCAAACTCCACACAGGCAGTCGCCCGAGAGTGGAATCGAACCTAGCTCATGCTAGCCACAGTGCCGTGGTCACTTCAGATTTCCAGCATCCGCAGTATTTTCCTTTTGTTTGATGTCAGTTATCGCTTGGTTCGAGACGATGTCTACTCAGAGTCAAGAGTTTCTGTCATGGGTTTACTGCAGAGGCCAATTCTCAACCTGTAGATCTTTGAGCACAGGGGAAAGGTTGTCCCACAAGGTAGTGTGATTGAGAGTGAAGAGGTAGTTTCTTTCTCCTTCCTTCTCAGCTATCACTGTGACAGATCATTAAAGTGTTTGGGCTGAAAGTGTGATGCAGCTTGCTGGCCATATCATCATTCTGAATGGTTAGACACTCCCTCCTCACAGTTACCAATATCTATCACCACGCTTCCAGTGGAGCAACTTTAGAGAAACCTTACCTTGTTTCTGTCATCCTCCCTTAAACCCTGGCCCACAGAGAGTTGAGAAAACAGGACAGAAGTAGGGTTTGGGGGGTGCTCAACAGAGTAAATGCTGAGAGGATGTTCTCATGAAGGATGTCATGGGAGAGTGTTGGACCAGACCGAATGGTGTCAGAATAAAGGGACCCCAATTTGAGACTGAGATGAGGAGGAATTTCTTCTCTCAGAGGGGTTGTGAATCTTTGGAACTCCTTGCCACAGAGAGCTGAGGGGGACAGAGCCCTTGTGTGTATTTAAGGCTGAGATGGAGAGATTCTGGATCTGTATAGGAACCAAGAGTTATGGGGAAATTGCAGGAAAGTGGACATGAGGAATGTTGGATCAATCATGATCCTACTGAATGGCAGAGCAGGCTTGAGGGCTGAATGGTGTAGTCTGTTCCTGATTCTTGGGGTCTTTATGGATACATTTTGGGGGGATCTGGGCACAGTCTATAGTCCATAGTACCTGATATTGCAGGAGTTGTTCTAGAATGTTTGCAGAATGGCATGTTTGTTTAATGATTGAACACTGAATCTGGAGGATGTGGCAGAAGAACAGCAGATGAAATTTCCCTCGTGCTGTTACATGTTGTAGATGCACACTCCAGCTCTCACTGTGATGACAATAACTGCTCTGTTATGCCCAGGGCAACAAGGTGCAGAGCTGGAAGAACACAGCAGGCCAAGCAGCATCATAGGAGCAGAAAGGCTGATGTTTCGGGCCTAGACTTTCTGCTCCTATGACGCTGCTTGGCCTGCTGTGTTCATCCAGCTCTGCACCTTGTTGTCTCGGATTCTCCAGCATCTGCAGTTCCTACTATCTCTGTTATGCCCAGGACTAGTGTTGAAGTGAAGAGGGTTTTGTTGTTGAACACTCATTGCCACGGTGTGTGGAAGGCTGGGCTGGCACAGCTGATGCTGTCTCGATCTCCTGATCGCTGAGCGTCTTTGTGGAGAGGCAGCTGCCACATTTTCTCAGAAATTGTTACAGCGCAGAGGGAGGCAGTTCGGTCCATTGAGTCGGCAATGGCTCTCCCAATAAACGTAATGTCTCATAATGTCATTTGCCTGCCTTTCCCCCATAACCATAAGGGAAGAGTTTAACACCACAGAATGTACAGCCAGAACTAAGAGTGTGGGAGCACTCAGATTCGTCTGGCCTGCAGGACGAAAGACAAAACACCTCCTGAAAATGCAAGTTCTTGCATTTACACAGTTCCGTCCCTGAGCGCCAGTTATTTTGCAGCCAGTCAATTACTTTTAAAGTGCTGTCACTTCAGCAAGATAGCGGAGGCGATAGAGTAGCAGCATACAGGCTCCTGTGCCTGGGCTTGTCCTCTTCGTCTGCCTTTTTTTTTATTTCTTTCTCATTTTCCTTCTATCTTCTCAAACATACCTGATAAAGGGAGCTCTTTGGCAGGAGGTGGCTTCGCTGGGCTCCGGCGCAGCGTCTGCATCTTCAGAGGCAGTGCAGCTACAGAATCAGTCGGTCATTCGACCTGTGAAGCCTGCAGCAGGCTTTCATTTTCACATGGAGTGGCCTGGAAGGCCCAGAGTGGGCCTCTGGTGGCGATATGCTGTAACAGTGGAGATGGAAAAGTTGGACTCTCTTTAAGTTTCTTCTTATTCTAAGTTAATGTGAATGACGCCTCTGCACAGCAACACTTTTCGCTGTATTTTGTCTTGAATACAAGTGACAATAAAGGATATTCTAACTGTAGTTCTAATAATGTAGGAAACACAGCACCCAGCATCCACACAGCAAGCTCCTACAAAGGCAATTAGCTAATGACCTGTTAAGCTGCAGTTTTTGTGATGTTGATTTGGGGATTGGTCAGGACACCAGGCATAAATCTCCATGGAGAGTTCTTGAAAGTAGTGCTATTGGATTTTTTGCATTGATCTCAGTCTTAAATTGGTGCCTGTTTATTCTGAGACTATTCCCACTGTCCCTAGACTCTCCCATGTGGGTAAATACCCTCTCCAGCCCACACCCACCATGTCCTGTTCTCCCAACTCTTGAAAGATCAGGGTTTAGCAGAGGACAACAGGCAACAGTCAAAGCCCCAGTTCAGCATTTCCCTTCACTATTGCACTGGATTCTCTGTCTCAGTATTTTGTGCTCAAATCCTATCATGGGATTTAACCCAAAACTTTCTGAAATTGAGGTGAGTAGCAGAGGCAAAAAATGTTTTTCTTTAACAAAGTTGAAAATTAACAAGCTGGTGCTCCATTTTGAGGTATACAAGACAAGTCAGACTAAAATGCATCATTCATAAGTTTTATTGGTGTTTTCCCACCTGCTAAGCTATACTAGTTCTTCATGAATACTGTACAGTTGGTAAATTTATGTAATATGAATGAATGAATGAACAAATGAATGAATGAATGAGTGAATGAGTGAATGAATTAGCTTTATTGTCACACGCATGCGAATGAGTGTAACGAACAGTTTGCGATGTCCCCATTTATGGTGCTATCTTAGGTACAAGATACCCAGGTACAGATACTTAAGTATTCGGTACAAAATTGAAAGAATGATAAATAAAACTCCTGCATAAGAATAAAAAGGAAACAAGTACTTGATTTACATCCTTCCACCCCAGTCTGTGACAGCACCTGGCCTCCACACCGCACTGGGCCAAGTCTCCACACCGCACTGGACTTTAAAACTCGAGGCCTCGCCTCCCCATTACAGCCTCCAGTTGGAACTCACTCCCCACTACAGCTTCCGCCCCGGGACTCACTCCCCACTACAGCCTCCGCTCTGGGACTCACTCCCCATTACAGCCTCTACTCTGGGACTCAATCCCCGCTACAGCCTCCCTGGGCAATATAGCAGCTGGAGGAACCAGGCGGAGGGCTTGAGAGGAAAAGGTGTGGCGTTCGAAGAGATCTACTCCATACACAACATCGGGGAGGGGAAGATCTGCTTCACCCTCACCCTCACCCTCCCCAGCCTCATCCTCCCTCCCCCTCCCCGGTCTGCTGACATCAGCCTCCACTCCATCTCCCCCTCACCCTTCTCCTCTCCAAACTCATTCTCCAGAGCTGGCAATGTCAGCCTCTCTTTGTCTCCCCCCACAGCAACACCCCCCTCCCTACCCAGCACACACGCCCACTCTCCTCCCTAGCCTCCCCCTCCCCAGCCTGAGGACACAGTGGTGCATGTTCACACAGGCATTTCCTGCTGCCTGTTGTGACCAAATTACATCATGCATAGTTGTCTTTTTGGTGTTCTGGACAATCACTCCATTTTTAAATATATCCCCTTATTAGTTTACTGAATCTGTCATTCCCTGATCCCAAGGATGCAATACAATTGCTTTCTGATATTAAAGACACCCTACAGAATCATTAAATCACCTCTTAACAAGGCCAATCAGCCTATCATTTGCCTGCAACCTCTTTGAAATGGGTATCCAATCAGAGTTTGACTCAGATGCTCCTCCCCCACAGTCCTGCCGATTTTCCCCTTTTCACTGTTTTTCCATTTCCATTTTGGTAGTGTTTTCTCTCGTATTGTCATTGTAAATGTCTATGTCAATACTCATGATGGAAACAAAAACAGAAATTGCTGGAGAGACTCAGCAGGTCTGGTAGCATCGGGAGGAAGAAAGCAGACTTTGAATCCAATGACCCTTCTTCAGAACACATGATGGAAACTGCCTATATAAAATTGTCACCCTGTAATGCACTGTCCTGCCACTGGGAGCACTACAGCTCCTACCCTGATAGGGCAGTGTAATTACAGCAAGGTGAGCTCCGATTGGAGTTGTGTATGTGGGAATACATTGGAGGAGAAGAAAAACAAGAAATGCACGCAAACATAACATTTTTAATTATTGTGATTGCAAATATGGCAGCCTTTCATAACCTTGGAGAAGATCACTCTTCCATTTCTCAATTTAAATCAAGTGTTTCCAAGCTGCTGGTGGGGAGCTGTGTTCAAGTCTAACTGAATTTGAATTCAATAGAAAACATCTGAAATTAAGAATCTACAGTTGGCCATGAAACTATTATCAATTGTCAGGGAAAAAAAACCATCTGGTTCACTAATGCTCTTCAGGGAAGGAACCTGCCATCCTTACCTGGCCCACACGTGACTCCAAGCCCACAGCAGTGTGCTTGACTCTCAACTGCCCTCCGAAATGGCCTAGCAAGCTGCTCAATTGTATCTGTCACTACTAAGGACAGGCAATATATACTGGGCCAGCCAGCTGTGTCCATGTCCCACGAATGAATTAAAAAAAAAACATTGTTTATTTTGCAGAAGTGCAGTCAGGAGGCATTGCTGTCATTACAATGGGAGATGCCACTCCAGTGGAGAATAATGTGAACACTGGACAAATGAGAGAAGAGAGCTCGGCCCCTAAAATGAATGTTGAAGAAAAATTGTCCATGAAACAATTGATTGTTCGTCGGGGAATAGCCATCCTTTCAGGATTACTTATACTGGCAATTGGACTATTGCTGAAGAACATGTAGACTCCAGTGAACTTTGCAGAGACAAGTGGGAATACAGATCACCTTCTGTGGTCAGTGGAGCAGCTATAAGAGGTGCTCTGTGTGTTATCTCATTTCTCACTTCTTAGCAACAATGAATGTTAAAGGAATGTCAATTATATTACAGATTGGAAGGAAGGCCGTTCAGACAGACTCCTGTAATTGTTTAAAGCGTATGTGTCCATTTTAGTGACCAGGCCCTCACCGGTGTAGGCACCTGCCTACTCGAAACAGGACCAGGGACAACTTGGTGGCTTTTGCTATCAGGTTTCCATCAGCTCAAAGACCTCCCAGTTGGCGCTCATGTACATCATTGACTGAAGCTGGAAAGGATTTTTATGAACACGGAAATGAGAAAAGCAATTATTGGTGTGGTGACATTAATCTTCTTTGTGGGGGTGGGCGGAGCAATCTGAGTCACAATTCTTTTTAGACGTACCAGTGCACAACAAAAAAATTTGCATCTATATTAAAACTTTAATGCAGCAAAATCTCCCCAGGCTCTTCAATCGAGTGCCATCACACAACACTTGAACTTGCATAACACAGTGTGGAGCTGGAGGACCACAGCAGGCCAGGCAGCATCAGGGGAGCAGGAAAGCTGACGTTTCCGGTCAGGACTGAAGAAGGTCCCGACATGAAATGTCAGCTTTCCTGCTCCTCCGATGCTGCCTGGCCTGCTGTGTTCCTCCAGCTCCACACTGTATTATCTCAGACTCCAGCATCGGCAGTTCTTACTATCTCTGAGTGACTTGAACGTGGAGGCATTTGATGAGATATGAGTACAGGTGATGAAAAATGTGGTCGTTGTTCAGGAACAGGAGGCAGGGAAATTTACTTCTGCCACTTAGAAGCGGGTTTGATGATGATGTGTCTGCAGAAGACTTTCCATCCAGTAGGCTATTATGATAGCCTGGGATTCTCAGACATGTTGCCTGGGTGCACAGATTCATGACACTTACCGTTCAATTCTGCAAAGAACTCAACATTCTGATAATAAAGCAAAAACTAACTAACAATTGATCGTAGTAGATTAACCTCTAGATATATTTGACTAAAAGTGAGTAGCAATGCAACAGTGTCATAGCTCCCTGCGGTTAGCTCGCTGAAATCAAGACCTGTTATCACCAAAGTTGAAGAATATTTTTAGAAATACACAAAGGCTCCTCAATTTACCTGATTTTGTTGATAAAAAGCACAGATCAGTGGTATTATCGCTGGACTGTTAACCCAGATAACGTTCTGGGGGCCTGGGTTCAAATCCCGCCACGGCAGCTGGTAGAATTTGAATTCAATGAGTATCTGGAATTAAGAGTCAAATGATGATCGTGAATCCATTGCCGATTGTTGGAAAAACCCATCTGGTTCACTAATGCCCTTTAGGGAAGGAAACTGCCATTCTTACCTGGTCTGGCCTACATGTGACTCCAGACCCACAGCAATGTGGTTGACCCTTAACTGCCCTCTGGGCAATTAGGGATGGGCAATAAATGCTGCCTACCCAGCAACTCTCTCAGGCCGTGAATGAATAAAGGGGAAAAAGCTACGGGTAAACAGATATAAACCATCAGCATAAATACTACAAACTAAAACCTTAATCCCTTTTAAAAACTCCCTCTTACCCACACAGACACATAGGGATACACAAGGGAAAAAGAAACACATGGATGAAGGGAAAACTAGGAAAGTATTTTAGCTCTCTTTGTTCAGAGGATCTGTTGAGTTGATCCTTTCATCTCAGTCTTCCTCTTCCAAATACTTCCACTGGTCTGCAAAAGGCACAGGGTGGCTGGTTCACTCAAACTATCAAATAAGAGATACACCTTATAGCAACTGCTGAAGAAAACATAATCTGGTTATCTTCAGGTTTAGAGTGCCTTACTGCAGAGAATGACGAGCGGGATCCTGGCTGGTGGATACTTGGCAGTTCCTCTCTGCAGCCCCAAGCTATTCAGTTATCTGAGAATTAGTCACATGATTACTGACAGGCAAAAAGCCTTTCTTATCTCTGGCTGGTCACTAGTACATAGATCACTCATCTTGTTGCCAACAAATGCTCCGTCTGACTACAGTACCCCTCAGCTCCAGTTCATCTGCAACCTTAACTTCAATCATTGGCTGAGAAAGGGTCACCAGACCCTAAAAGTTAACTCTGATTTCTCTTTACAGGTGCTGCCAGACCTGCTGAGCTTTTCCAGCAACTTCTGTTTTTATTTCAATCATTGCTTGTTTGTGCAGCTTTATAACCAATGCTTGCCATGAGTTACTTGCTTTTGAAAACATGCAGCAATCCTTGCAAAACCATGGTTTTAAAAACAATTCTTTCTCATTTCAGTCCATAATTTTAAAATGCACACAAAGAACGAAAGACACAATACAGGCTGCTTAGAACACAATTTCAGTCCAGAGCCTGCATTGAGTTAATTGATGATTCTAAGACAGTGATAGTGATAGTGCAAAAACAGAAGTTGCTGGAAAAGTTCAGCAGGTCTAGCAGCATCTGTGAAGAGAAATCAAAATTAACATTTCGGGTCCAGTGACCCTTCCTTAGAACTGATGGTAGAGATAGTGCAATTAGTCTCACTAAATCTGAACTACAAGCATAAAATCAGAACGGATTTGTTTTCTTCATCACTATCTTTGGAGTTTAGAAGAATGAGAGGTGATCTCATTGAAACATATAGGATTCTTAAGTGGCTGATGGGGTAAATGCTGAGAGGATGTTTCCGCTCATTGGAGAGTCTAGGACAAGAAGGAATAGAATAAAGTGGCACCAATTTAAGACTGAGAGAGGAAGAACTCCTTTTCTCAGAAGGTTATAAGTCTTTAGAACTCCTTTCCACAGAGAGCTGTGGGGGGTAGAGTCCTTGGGTGTATTAAAGGCTGAGATAGAGAGATTTCTGATCAGTCAGGGTTATGGAGAAATGCAGGGAAGTGTATGTGAAGAATATCGTAATAGCCATGATCCTATTGAATGGTGGAACAGGCTCCAGGGACTGATAAGCCTACTCCTGTTCTTATTTTGTCTGGGCTTATTGTTTATCCAAGGATGACCATTTGAACTGCATATGTGCATCATTAAGTTTCATACTGATATACTCCATGGCCATCTAGTAGGCTAATATACAAGGGGTAGAAGAAATATTACACTTTTCCAAAGCCCTTGTTAGACAAGACCTGGAGTACTGTGTGCATTTCTGGGCATCACATCCTGGGAAGGATAGACTAGCCTCAAAGGCAATGTAGTCTAGGTTTACCGCAAATGTACCTGAATTCCAAGGATCACACGATGAGGAGAAATCTCACAAACTTTTAAATTCCCTGGAATTTAAAATGGTGAGGCATGATTTCATTTAAATGTTTAAGGTATTGAAGGGAACAGGTACGTTGATAGAGCAAGCCTGCTGGTTGGGGTGTCCATGACTGAGACATAACCGTAAAGTTAGAGCCAAGCCTTTCAGGAGTGCACAAAGTCAGAAATCACACATCACCAGGTTATAGTCCAACAGCTTTATTTGAAATCACAAGCTTCCGGAGCGCTGCTCCTTCATCAGGTGAAGTCCTGAAGGGACAAATAAACCTGTTGGACTATAACCTGGTGTCGTGTGACTTCTGAATTTGTGAACCCCAGTCCAACACCAGCATCTCCACTTCAGGACTGAAAGCCTGGAGTACTACACACAAAGAGTGGTTTTCAATGGGGGGAATTGGGGTGGGGAGATGGACTACCTGGTGAGAAGTTGGTCAGAGTCATGTGTCTCCTTTTTATTAGGGATGGCCTGCTGTGTTATGTGCAACTCAGATATTTAATATGTAATCACTCACATGAGTTGTTCACTGATGTTCTGAAGCCTGGGCCCTGTGTTGTTGTACATTAGAGGACCCCACTGATTGTGATTTTTGTCCTGCTGATGAATTCTCCTGAATGACCATAAGGTATCTTTGTTGGAATTCTTCCAGCATTCCCGCAGGGAAGTTGTAAGAGGTGTTCCAAATTAAGACAAGATTATGATAGCATAGAGGAGAAGAAATTGTTCCCACCGGTTTTGGGTCAGTGGTGGGGGTAGGTCAGCGAGCAGAGGACTCAAATTTAAATAATTAGCGGAAACACTCAAGAAGAGACAAAATGTCTTTTACTCAGCAAGTGCGTATGGTCTAAAAGCATGATGGAAACAGGTTCAACAACAACTTTTAAAATATGATGGGCTAAATACTTGTAAAGGACATTTTGACGGGCTATGGGAAAAAAGCAGGCAAAAGGTTCAAATGAAGAATCACTTTCAAAGAACTAACACAGGTGTAATGAGCTGAATGATCTCATTTGCTACTGTGATCTTGTGGATCTGAATGAATAGTTAACAGTTATGATTTTGAAATTCTTTAGATCATGTTGAATAGGTGAGCCATTTGGAATGTTAGCTAAACTAGTCTTGGCTGTTTGATCTCTGTGATGACTTTTTGTTAGCCAATAGAGTTTTATCAGAGTTGATCTTGCAATAGTAACTCCAAAGTACATCTTAATCTTGACAAATTTACAGCTCCTTTGCCAAAAGAAATTATGCTTAGATTGAGAACTTGAGATATCTGGCTGCCAACCAAGAAATTTCCAGGATTTATGTTATAGTCTAGTTAATCATTAACTTTATCATTCATTGCGAAACTGAATGACAGAAAATACCTTATAGTCATGTCTTATGTAATAATAATTGGATTTCTGCACATTGCTGCTGTGTCAGGAGGTCACAAGACATAACAGCATAAGACCACAAGACGTAGGAGAAGAAATAGGCCAGTCAGCATCTTGAGTCATTGAGTCACCGTTCAGTGAGATCATGGCTAATCTGATCATCCTTATCTCCACTTTTCTGCCTTTCCCCCATAACCTTTGAATCCCTTACTGATTAAAAATCTATCCCAGCCTTGAATAGACTTAATGACTCAGGCTCAACAGCCCTCTGCAACAGAGAATTCCATAGATTCACTCCCCTCTGAGAGAAGAAATTCCTCCTCGCCTCTGTCCTAACTAGGTGACCCGTTACTCTGAGATTGTGCCCTTTGGTCCTAGACTCTACCACAAGAGGAAACAACCATTCCACATGTACCCTGCCAAGTCCCTTAAGAATCTTGTGTGTTTCAATAAGGTCTCCTTTCATTCATCTAAACTCTAATGAACACAG